AAGGACAGCATCAATACACTGTGTCACCAAAATTCTCTGGCATCTTTTTCATGCAACCTTGCTGGGGAGAGGGAAGTTTGCCTTTAAGAAAAATCCCAACAAATTTATTTGTAGAGACAAATGAAGCCCCAGACACAAGCCAATGCTACTTTCTGTATGTTAAATTGAAAGTATCAGCAATACAATTTTCCTGGGATTACCTGGTTTCTGTCACTTTCCCTCAATCTTAGGGATTTATAGCCACCACAGAGAAGGAAATTACAAGGCTATCCAGACCTCCTGCTCCTTGGGTTATAATGAACTTAGAAGGATCTTATTGAATGTTTTAAGATGGTTAATCAACTGCCATGTGATAAATTTAGGAGGAAGCTCATCAGTACAGGTAGTCCTCGACTTATAACCATTCATTTAATGACAGTTCAAAGTTACAACGGTGCTCAAAGATTTTGACTTATGATCATTCTTCGCATTTATGACCGTTGCAGAATCCCCATGGCTATTTGATCAAACTTTGAGCACTTGGAAACTGGCATGTATTTATGACAGTTGTACCATCCTGGGGCCATACAATCATCCTTTGTAAACCTTCCCAGGAAGCTTCTGAAAAACTAAATCAATAGAGAAAGCCAGATTAGCTTGACAACTGCGGTAATCCATTTAACAACTGTGGCCAAAAAAAGGATAAAATGAGGCAAAACTCACTTAATCCTTATCTTGTTTAGCAATGTAAACTGTGGTTATAAATTGAGGACTTCATGGAAGGATGTGTTCCAGCTGTGTGGGTGAAACTCACTGTATCAGTCATCATTTTGTTTTTTTATCTACCCACCAACCTTCTGTACTTGTTGTTCCCAAGACTGGCTGATGTCTGTTTGGTGCACTGGTAGCAGAATTCCTACAGGGAAAGTAGAAGGAGACACTGGTTCATTAGTGGCATAAAAAAGTAAAAATATAAAAGAAACTCAATTTTTTTTTAAAAAAAGGGGGGGAATCATCCATTAAGGACTATAAAAACAGGCAGATTTTTTTTTAAAAAAAAGAAAAATAAAACAGGAAAAAATCTATATGGTCCCATTGCAATTTTATATAACAACATTTAAAATAATTACATTTTCTCCCAGCTTGATTCCTTATACACTGGGCAGCTAGAGTGGGAAACAGAAAACATTACCCCAGGGAAAATCTGGAAAAGACCTCCATTTGGCCATAAAACTGACAAAAAACTATCTTAGCTCAAACACTTTCTCAGCCTTACCAAAGTGAATTGCTATGAAAAGTAACAAACCACAATGTATTACACTGTCCAGGGTGCTCTGTAAAGACGGTAAATAAATGTAGTTTTCCATGTACTGTTATTCATTCTCTCATGTGCAAGCTTTTTACAAGAAAAGAGACACTTAAATAACTCAAGATTATAAGATAAAACATTGTCTCTTTTGTGCCTTCAGATGTTCTGGTAGTAACTGGGGAAAGCAGTACTGATTTATTTCTCCATTTGTACCCTCCTTTCCTCAATAATGATAGAAAAGAAATACCTTAAAAACTCCAATTTTTAATAGCACATCATTAAAGTTAAGAATTCTCTGAAGATTGTTTCCAAGGAAAAGGGACCCTGCTGCTGAGTTAAATATAACATTCTTTACACAGGGGTGCAGCTTTATTATATTTGGAGAAGGCTCAGAATTCAATACCCATCGTTTGATTTCTTTCAGAGTTGGGAAGGATTTAGAGTTTATATAATTTTTTTTATACTGCCTATCAAAATACACCACATAGTCCTGAAGGAAGCAGACTGACAGGATTGTATGTGCATGGAAGTAAGTTGTATTTCAAAGGATAAAGAATTATTACTGACAGTAAGATGGAATCAATTTCTGTTAACAATGCAAGTTCTGTCAATATTTCCACATATAGTCAATAAGTAAACATTACCTTTTTCCCCCTAAAGATGTAATTTACATTGTTTCTAATTTTCATCTATTATTTAACTTTTATTTACAAGACTTCTAGGTCGGAATTCTGGGAATTGTAGCTTCAACATATTTTGAAGATGTCCAGTTGAACAAAGTAGAGATTTTCAAACATTTTCATGCCACAGAACTCATTTGTTTTAAAAAATGATTTCCCAGAATTTCTGATCAAGAGGCCATGCTATAGAGATAGAAAGTTGACTGCATTCAAGTAACAGTTTTTTTCCTGCCATTAGCCTCCCATAGAATCCCAAATTCTTGCAGAACCCTAGGATTAAAGCAGGTCTCCAAACTTGGCAACTTTAAGACTTGTGGACTTCAACTCCTGGAATTCTCCAGCTGGCTGGAGAATTCTGGGAGTTGAAGTCCACAAGTCTTAAAGTTGCCAAGTTTGGGGACCCCTGGATTAAAAGATTAGTTAGAAAAAACCCTGGATTGGAGACTTTTTATTCATAATTTTAATCCATGTACTCCTATACACATATCAATTCCCACTAAGTATGCAAAACCATTAAATCTATTTTTGCACAGTTCTCTATGAGTTCTAAATCAACACATGTAATCCTCAACTTAGGACCACAACTGAGCCCAAAATTTATGTTGCTAAGTGAAACATTTGCTAAGTGAACTTTGTCCCATTTTACAATCTTTCTTCCCACAGTTGTTAAGTGAATCACCGCAGTTGTTCAGTTAGTGACACAGTTGTTAAGTAGAGCTAGCTTTCCCACTGATTTTGTTGGTCAGAAGGTTGCAATAAAGGGGATCACATGACCTTGGGACACTGCAACCATCATAAATATGAGTCAGTTGCAAAGCTTCTGAATTTTGATTCTGTGACCACAGGGATGCTAGAAGAGTCGTAAGTGTGAGAAACAGTCATAAGCCCCTTTTTTCAGTGCCATTGTAACTTTGAGCAGTCACTAAATGAACTGCTGTAATTTGAGGACTACCTGTAATCTTCTAAATTGGCAATTAAATAGAAAAAAAATTAAAGATTTTTCAAAGCCATAAAAAACATTTCAGGCATTTAGCAAAGTCCTTTTCCATTCTTTCTTCTCAATTTCCCATCCACTGCAAACTCACTGCAACCAAGTAATAAAGTATACTGTCTTTATAGCATTGGATCCCCCGCCCAATATTACTTTGTACTTGTATGAAGTTCGCAGTCTTTCAAGTCTGCTTGAATCACGTGATTTTGCACTGTTCCATAGTGATTAAATTTATTATTAGGATATTAATAGCAATAGCATTTAAGACTGCTTTATAGTGCTTTACAGCCCTCTCTAAGAGGTTTACAGAGTCAGCATATTGCCCCCAACAATCTGGGTCCTCATTTTACCCACCTCGGAAGGATGGGAGGCTGAGTCAACCTTGAGCCTGGTGGGATCTGAACTGCCAAACTGTAGGCAGCTGGCTGCTTGCAATGCTGCACTCTAACCACTGTGCCACAGTGTCAATTAATTTTAAATTAATGTTACTGTCCCAGCCTTAGTTTACATTACAAGATGCTCTGGATCCAAACCAAATTGTATTACAACTAGTAGGAGCTCACCCGATTCCCCTGTCCCTAGCACTACCTGCAGATGCCAAGGGCTGAATGTGACACTTCTCACAGGCAGAAACAGCACTGAGCTCTTTCCCTTTGTTCCCCCACCCCCATACTTTTCCCTGGAGCTCATTCATATGTTCTGCTATTGACACCCAAAGCAGAGAAACCAATATGTGTCATGGGTGACTTGAATATCTCTCACACACACACACTCAAAAAGTGGGAACTAGGCTTTTCTTGTCTACCACAAAACTGGTGACCTGCAGATTAATAGATATTACCCGGTGCTTTCCCGCCCCAAACCGCCATTAAATGTATCAATTACGCTTCCTGCGCCAAATTCATTCAGATAAAGAGAACATGAGTGAAGAGTCAGTTTGCCAGTTCTCCTTCTACACATCCGAATCACCCCCGTTTTCCGGCAAGACATACGAAGCGCCTCTTTCTTTCCCGCCAATTTCAACGTCGCTGCTGAAGCCCACCCACTCCCCACCCCCACCCCAAAAAGCCGAGTGTGGAAAAGAAGCGGAAAGTATTCCAATATTTGAGGGGCTGCCACGTGGGGTGGTGTTTCAAGCTATTCTCCAAAATGCCTTAAGGCCAGACAAGGAATAATGGATGGAAACTGAACAAGGAGATTCACCCTGGAAACAAGGAGGAATTTTCTGACAGTGAGAACCTATCAATCAATGGAACAGCTTTGCCTTCGGAAGTTGTAGGAGCTTCATCACTGGAAACTTTCAAGAAGAGACTGGACTGCCACCTGTCAGAAATGGTGTAGGGTCTCCTGCTTGGGGTGGGGGTGGGGGTTCGACTAGATGACCTACAAGGTCCCTTCCAACTCTATCAATCTCGACCAAAGGCGGCCATGACTACCCCCCCCCCCCAATTCTCGGGGCAAATCCTCGGCATTAGTAGCCGCTAAATCATCCAGCCGCCGACGCGGAGAATTACACCTCTCGAAGGCGCGGGAGGAGATAGGAAGCTCGTGGTGCTGGGACGGCTATTCTCAGAGGCTCGGACTGAGCCTGCCCGGAAAGCCCATCGCCGCCCACTCCCGGGCGAAAAGCCCAAAAAGCAACAGATGCCCGCGCTCCGTTCGGGCGCCCATCCACCGACCCCGAAAGCGCCGCTCTTTTGCCATGGAGGGAAAGCATTTCTGGACGCCGAGGGAACGATTTTACCGCCGCCCCGCCGCTCTGCGCTGGCGGTCTTTCCTCCCCACCCCCCACCCCCAAAAGCACCTTCAATGGAAAGAAACCAAGAGCGGGGCTAACAGCGTTGATCTCTACCTACCCGGCCGCTCCGATCCCGCCGCGTTGCTTTTTCAGCCAGCAGCCCCCTCGTGTCTTTGATATTGCAAAGGGCGGGATCACTCCAGGAGGCCCCGCCCCCAGAGACCCTCCCATTGCCCGCCCTCTCCTCCTTTCTTCTAGCCGGAGGCTTCATGCCTGGGGCGGCTGGGCGCTCGTGAGGCGGGGGTAAGCGAAGGATCCGAGAACCCCGCAATCAAGCCCAGAGAGGAACGGAGGCGACTATTTGCAGGAGGAGGTTCTTCTGCCTCCGTTCAGGGCTCAGCTGCTCCGAGGTTAAGCCATTTTTTTAAAGGGGCTCGGACGGACCCAAACGAAAGGAGGTCTCTCTACCGCAGAAAGCCGGTGTGTTTTGTACAGGTAATCCTTGACTCACGGCCACAATCGAGCCCAACATTTCCGTGGTTAAGTGAGGTGTTTGTTCCCTGAGTCTTGCCCCATTTTGCAACCTTTCTTGCCACAGTTGTTAAGTGAATCGCTTGCAGTTGGTAACCCGGTGAAGTGAACCTGGCTTCCACTTTGACTTTGCTTGTCAACAGGTTGTAAAATGGGATCACGTGACCCTGGGACACCGCAACCATCATAAATATGAATCAGTTGCTCAGCCTCTGAATTTCATCATGGGGATGCTTCAAAGATCAAACCGTCATAAGTCACTTCTTCCAGGGCCATTATAACTTTGAATGGTTACTAAAAGAACTTGTAAGTCGAACACTACTTGTATGAGCCTTTTCTCTTGAGGGGGGGGGCTTTGTTCTACATCATCTCACGCTGTGGTTATGAGTGCATCAGGCCATGAGCCAAAAGCAGTTGGCCACACTGTTATTGTGGATCAAACAATGTGCTCTGGGTGCCTTTCCCCTAGCAGATAACACCCCCCCCCACCCAAGCTGGAGACCCTACATCATTTCTGACAGATGGGAGTCCAATCTCTTCTTGAAGGTCTCAAGTGATGGCGCTCCCACGACTTCTGAGCGCGGGGTGTTCCATTGGTTGATTGTTCTCACTGTCAGAAGTTTTTTCCTTATTTCCAGGTTAAATCTCTCCTTGTTCAGTTTCCATCCATTATTTCTTGTTTGGCCTATAGGCACTTTAGAAAATAGCTTGACCCCTTCCTCTCTGTGGCAGCCCCTCAAATATTGGAAGACCGCTATCATGTCTCCCCTGGTCCTTCTCTTTACTAGAGTAGCCATGCCCAGTTCCTGTAAACATTCTTTGTATGTTTTAGTCTCCAGTCCTCTAATCATCCTGGTTGCTCTTTTCTGCACTTTTTCTAGAGTCTCAACATCTTTTTATAATGTGGTGACCAAAACTGGATGCAGTACACTAGGTGTGGTCTTACTAAGGCTTTATAGAGTTATATTAATACCTCCCTTGATCTTGCTTAGCTCACAGGCTGAACTACAAATGAGCAAGTAGTTCAGCCTGGCGGAGGAATTCTCAAACTTTGTCATTGCAACTGATCGATTTGTTGCAAACCTCCCATGATTGTGGTTAGGGTTGGTCAAAATGTGAAATACTGTTATGTCACTGCTTTCCCATAATTCAATACAGGTAGTCTTCGACTGTGCCAGTTAAGTGAATCTGGCTTCCCTCCTTGGTTTTCCTTGTCAAAAGCTGGCTGGGAAGGTTACAAATGCTGATCGCATGACTCTGGGACAGTGCAACTGTCATAAATACATGCCAGTTGCCAAGCACCCTACTTTTGATCAGAGGACCATGGGGATGCTGCAATGGTCTTGTGAAAACTAGTCATAAGCCACTTTTTTCAGTGTTGTAACTTTAAACAGTCACTAAATGAATGCTTATAAGTCGAGGACTATCTGGCATACCACACACTATCAAATAATAGGAGCAACTCACCCACATTATAAAACAAATACAACATGTTAATATGTTGCTAATATGCATAGATATGCCATGTAATTCCTCAAATCAAAATTCAGTCTTTTGTATTTACACTCCACTGTTGATATAGGTAAGTCATGGGGTTTCTATTGGAACACCACATCGTATGACTCAACATAATGACAGATTTTATACAGTTGCTGGTATAGGTAAGTGAGTATAAAAGTTGATTTCAAACTAATGTTCTAGAACATGATCGCTTAAAAAGTGTAGTACTGTTAGTGGTTCATTAAAAAAATGGAAGCAGGTAGAACCTGATCTGTAAGTTTGACTATTGTTGATGCCTTCATCACGCTTAACCAACATGCTTTAAGGCAAAATTTAAAAAGTTTTGCAACCCACTCTAAATCCCCAGGAAAACACAATACAGAGTTTGAGAACCTCTTGCTGGTGTTATGTAAACCCAGGCCAGTATGACTAGTTCATGATTTAGTGTAGATTATAAATCAAGAACATTGGCTTGCGAAAGCCATGATCTATATCAGGATATTTTTTTTCCTTTTCCTTTTTTGCAAACTGAATTCTGAGAATTTTAGGAGTTTCCATGAAAGATTAATGGCCAATAAAAACTTCACACAAATGCAGTCGATTTTTCACACTAGAGTTCTTATTCTTGGACAGAAGTTCTGGGAGGGTGTTTTTTTTTTTTTTTTAAGAACAGGATCTGAAGCCTGAATAAGTTTGAAAACTGATCTAGGTGACCATGAGCCACTGTAAAGCCTACTGCAGGAGTGTGCCATATAAAAATGAGAAACTTAAAACTGCTCTAACATGCAGCTAAGAAGACCCAATCTTGCAACTTAATTTTTTCTCAAGACCTACATTTGTTTTCTTGGAAATTAAGCCTATTCATTTGGGTGCATTAAGTCTTCTTAAAAGACATACATTATCTGGAACAGGAAGACTATCTTTTCCATCATCGCCATAAACCACTCTTTTTATCTTGTGATAGACACTGAATTTACTTTGACTACTCATTCTTCTTCCTGGCATGAATTTTACTCATGCTGGTAACTAGGTCCACCCCATGCCTGGGTCCCTAATGCTTTCCCTTCTCCTCAAAGTTCTCCACATTTGGCTACCCTTCAGGCTACTGAGAAATGGCTTCCTTTCTCTCAGCAGCCTAGACAGCAAAATCGGTCACCATGATTTCCTACTTAACATAGGGATGGATCTGAATCTTAAACAGACTACAGTCCCTTTTCCTATATACAAAGGCCTTGTATTTGTCTTTATCTTGGTAAACCACACACTCTGCATGGTGTGCTTGTTGAACAAGCAAGGGGAAGTGCCAGGATGTATTTACTTTTTGAGATTTGCAGAGTATTAACAGTATCTTCAGAGTCACTGAAAAACCAATTGCCTTCTGTTTTTCTTTTCTTACCGAAACTCTGGCTCCAAGCTACAGCTGTGTGAGACACCACCAAGCCCTAACTTCAGAACCAGATTTCTTAGGGTTTAGTCCGGCAACTAATGAAAGTTTCACTGAATATGTGCAAAATGTTATATCTTCACTACCATAAATAGCATGGAGTTTCAGGAAAATCTTTAAAAGTGGGAAGCAAAAGTTAACCACTCCTCTGAAAAGTTAGGCCAAGTCAGAAAGGGCTAAATTAATATACACACTATGGTGATTTCTTGCCTATTACTATAATTAATATGGGATGCCTAACTTCTCACAAGCCCAACTACAGGTTTGTGATTCAACATGTAGTCCTCAATGGAACTGTATCTACATGGAGGGAAGTATACAGTGGGGTACCTCAAAGTTCTGTTTTAGGCCCAATACTCTTCAACATCTTCACCAATGATTTGGACAAGGAGATAGATGGGGAACTCATTAAATTTGCAGATGACGCCAAGCTATCAGAAATAGCCAACACTCCAGAAGATAGACTTTAAGATACAGAAGGATCATGACAGACTTGAACATTGGCCACTATTTAACAAAATGAAGTTCAATGGTGAAAAAAATAAGGTTCTACACTTAGGCAAGAAAAACCAAATGCACAGGTACAGTATATGTGATACTTTGCTCAATAGTAGTCACTGTGAGAGGGATCCTGGAGTCCTAGTGGATAATCATTTAAATATGAGCCAGCAGTGTGCTGCAGCTGCCAAAAAAAGCCAACACATTTCTAGGTTGCAGAAACAGAGGAGTAGAATCAAGATCACGTGAAGTGTTAATACCACTTTATAGTGTCTTAGTAAGGCCACACTTGGAATATTGCATCCAGTTTTGGTCGCCACAATGTAAAAAAGATGTTGAGCCTCTAGAAAGGGTGCAGAGAAGAGCAACAAAGGTGATTCGTGGACTGGAGGCTAAACATATAAAGAATGGTTGCTAGACTTAGTTTAATGAAAAGAAGGACTAGGGGTGACTTGATAGCAGTGTTCCAATATCTCAGGGGCTGCCACAAAGAAGAGGGAGTCAAAATATTATCCAAAGCACCTGAGAGTCGAACAAGAAGAAATGGGTAGAAGCTAATCAAGGAGAAAAGCAACCTAGAACTAAAGAGAAATTTCCTGACAGAATTAATCAGTAGAAGAATTTGCCTCTAGAAGTTGCAAATGCTGGAAGTTTTAAAGAAGAGATTGGATAACCATTTGTCTGAAATGGTATAGGGTTTCCTGCCTAAGCGGAGGGTTGGACTAGAAGACCTCCAAGGTCCCTTCCAACTGTTATTCTATTCTTCTATTCTTCTTTGATTCTAATATTATCTGACAAATCCACAACAGTTGGACCAAATATCAAGAGAAATGAAAATATACTTTCATTCATGAGTGTTCCATGTGAAGAGGAATACAGGGAAAAAAGCTAAACAGAACCAGGAGTATAGTTAATTTTATATTCTTTATCCTGGAGGCCATGGATTTATATTCCAACATCTTATTCTGATGGCATCTAACAGTGTTAATACTGAATCTCCTAGATGATCCATACAAGAGTTACTTTTTAAGTAGAAACTATGCTATGGACCAAAGAAATGTCAGACCAAATTGTTCTAAGTCACAGAAGAAATAGCTTCTGAACAGCACAATGTTAAGGATTATGTAACACAATGAATGTAGTTACTAATACTACAAAAATATGTTAAGGAACTACATAGTCCTCTTTTGTTATTACTTATGAAATGGCTTTTTATATTTCAGATTACATCAATCAGCCATGGGCATACTAATATTTGTCTAAGCATTTGCCAAAAAAGATTACATTTGCCATGTTGTTTGATACATATATAGTGTTAATATTTTGAAGAGTGTTATTATCTCATTTGCGAAATCCACAAAGACTTCCAATTGAAGGAAATAATCCATTAAAAGTCAAATCCTTGACATTCATTGATTACTGCCAAATTGATCAGTGACATAGTAGTCTCCATACCTTATAAAATGATATTTAAACACATTTTAAATGGTAATTAACAATTTTGGGGGGTCTGTTTCACAAGGGGTGGCAAAGTAATATTGTTGCAATATATTTATTGGTATTCATCTAGGGGGGTAATATATGTATATGTGTATCTTTCTTTAAAATGCACTTTTAAAATATTTTTGTTTGTCTATTTGTTCCTGTTTTTTCTTGAAGTTTTGTATTTTAACTTTTTTTGAATAAAATAAAAATATCTTAAGAAAAAATGGTATATGTACTATGGATCCCTCCCTCTCCTGAAATATTTAATTCATACCAATAAAAAAAGAGCTTTGAATAATCTGACCAGCTCAACAGTGTTTTGGGAAAACCTGATACAAGAATCTGGGATTAAGGGTAGTCCTCAATTTATGACCAGTCACTTAGTGACAGTTCAGAGCTACAATGGATCTACAGTCACATGACAGTAATTTGGGCTCTTGGCAACTGGCTCACCTTTATGGCCATTTGCAATATCCCATGGTCACAACTAAGATTTGCATGGATTTTGCATCAAGTTTTTTTTATTTCTGGTTTCCAGGAGGGAAAAAATATCCATTGGGGAAAACTAACTTACTTAATGATCATGGCATTTGCTTAACAACTACCATATTCCCCCCATAAATTTTGGAAAACCAGGTCCAGTCATGTGATGCCTCGACTTACAACCGCAGTGACTTGTGACTGTAATTCCAAGCTCAATTATGGTTGTACATTGAAGAGTACCTTTAAAGAGCTTCCTTGAGACAACCAGCAGTGAATGTCTTCCTGGAAATAAAAAGAAAATCCAAAGCGTAAGCCAATCATTGAACAGATATTTCTGCTAATTCTGTCCTCCATCACTGTATTTTTTAATATGACCAATTTCATGACTCCTCCAGATATCTTGATGAAGGAAGGAAGAAGTTGCAGAGACTACAGGCGGTGTGAAAGACAGAAGATCCACTACCAAAGCAGATGAATGAACAGATAAATGTAGTTTAGGTCCATACAAAGAAAAAGAAAGAAAACCGCCTAAGAGAGGTGCCTCCCTAATTCACATGAAGATAAGAGGAAGGAGAAGCAACGTTTTCTTACTTCTGTTTTAATTAGTTGTAGGCTATCTGGTGTTGGTTTTTTGTTCTAATTTATCTTGTAGGGCTGAGAGTGTGAGAATCAAATGATGGTAGCACAGCCTTTGCAGAGACTCCCTGCTCCTAAAAAAGTTAGTTTTTATTATGGAATCCAGACTGAGGTTCTAATTCCTCCTGTTTTGAAACTCAAAATCTGACTCATGAAAGTATTGCTGCTCCTTGACATAGGACCAATGAATAGAGTGAGATGGAAGATTTATTTCTTAACTATTTGGGAACACTGGGGAAAATGACTTATGAAAAGTAGATATCTAGAACTCTGCCTTAGTTATCCTTCACTTGTGCCTTGATTATGCTCCGTGCCTAGTCACTACTAATCCATTAAAACCCTGGACTAGCCCTGGGCTTTTGTTTTGCTACTAGCCTCCTGTTTAAATATCTCATGTCATTGATTTTGCCTTGTTAGATTACTTTTGCATACCTTACCTAGTAAGAAGATGCTAAAACCACTACTTAACATTTGATTTGGCAGGAGGTACAATTAAGATACAGAATTTCTATATATATTGCCTTATTGCTGCTTTGGTGAAATCAAGCCAGAAAAAGCAGCTTGAGTCTATATATAAAGCAATTCTAGCACTTGTATTTTAAGAAGTCTCTTCTGAGGCAACTCATTCCGAGAAGAAAAAGACTATTAATAAAAGCCTAAATAAGCAACTCCATCAACATCCTCTGGATGACTTGCTGTTCTGTAAAGAGCTCCAGCAGTGTCAATATAAAAATCTAAGTGACCACCTGGCACTGCCTCATTGAGCCATCTGTAGGAATTGTTTGTAGGGCCTGTTTTGCAAACCGTCCACAGTGATTAAGCAAAGATCAAACCACATTTCTTGGAGGACCAGGATAATTCATTTTACCCAAAGGGGCAAGTTTTCTTCAGCTGTAAGTCATATTTAGTAAAATTTGTTAATCTGAAAAGGTGCCACCTGACTTCCTCGTAACACTTAACTATGTCTCTTCTCCTAAAGTCAAGAAGGCTCTCTTGCTGATTGCAACCTTCCTGTCACAGAGTGTAAATTTCTAGAAAAGGGCCTCTGAAAATGAAGTGTGCAAGTGGCTTTGTGTGGGAATAAGCAGCTCTTCAGATGCCCCAAACCATGTGTCAGGAATAAAGAGGAAGCTAAAGATGAGAAGATATCCTTGCTTGAGAGAATGCAGGAAAATAGGAGAACAAAGGCTGAGGTTTGTGATGCCAACGTAACCTGTTCCAGAGGAAGAAAGAAAAGACCATTCCAGGTGTGGAATGGCAGGTTTTTTCTGCTTGTGGGCCTCAAGAGTTAAGCTTGGTGGCACAGTGATAAGAACAAGGAACTCTGATTGCTTCCTACAACTTTATATCTAAAGAATCTTTTAGCAGTGCCAGTACAAAGCAGGAAGGAACAATCCAGGGAAGGAAAATTACAAAGGGGAAGGATCAGAAAGTTAAATTTCTCTCAAATTTCAAAGTCCCTGATCTTAGGAGGTGTCTTGACTTTTCTTCTCCCCAAAACATATGTAAACTGGGGTCCTGAGAATGTAGCAAAGTGCATTTTCCAAAAAATTCCCCCCTCCCCAATGTTCTTTAGTGCAGGGGTGAGTGCAATATGTAAAAAAAAAAAGATAAAAGCTTCACTATGAAGTGTCAGGGCAGCATCTAACCTTAATGGGGCCATTTAATGGTTTGTGTCATGTTAATGTTTGCTAATGTGTTGATGGCGTAGAGCTTTTGAATCCACAGAGACCTTAGCCAGTGAGTTCATCTTAATGACATTAGGAAGTAGGCAAGTAGGATGTATTTGTTTTGCAGTGGTAAAACCAACTGTGGACAAACAGACCATTTCTGAGCTGAAACAGATTTTTTGTCTTGTCTGTCCTTGTAGGTCTTTGCTTAATTGACTGTCCCAAATAAAATAAATATATCAGGGAAATACATGTAAAATACTTGCCTTAAAGTACCAACAAGATCAGTTCTTTGGTAAATATTTAAACACACCTCCCTTAGTTGCAGATTCACAGGAATCCACAAATCTCTTAAGAGCAGAATCTCTCCATCAAAGACAGAAGAAACAGGAGGAAAATAGCAACTGGCTTTAACATAATGGTATTACCATAACGTGTTTATTTGTAGCTATTGCAACATATAAATTCAGTTAAATATTACTGCTATTAGAACAATCTAAAATGGCACAATAGATACTGTCAATAGCTGTTTGAAGTTTCAGAGAAAAGGTATTTTCTAGCCTTAACCAAAGAGATTTGGGACCAAACAAAAGCAAAAAAAATCACACAACTATGCCTACATTTCAATCCATTTTAAGACTCTAGAAGGAAATAGAGGTAGTTTTAGTCCTGGTTCAATCCACAGAGGTTTGTTTGTGTATGATTGAGTGACCGCAACTGTTAAGAGCCTGAAGCATACATATATGGATGATATGGTTACAAGATTACTATAGTTTAAAAATCAGTGACTGCCTGCTCCTCCAGAGTTAGTTTTCCCAGTGGTTCCATATTCTTAAACTCAACTGATAACTACCAAAGAAGTATTGGGTTAGATGGCTGGCCAGATACAGATAAGAGTAGTCTCTGTGTAGAAAAGAATATTTGGGCTAAATTTAAAAACATGCAAGTCCCTAAGGTGCTAGTAAGAAAGTTAATAAAATTATGCAAGTTACTAAAATAAGTACCAAAGCAACACACCCTTCTAAAAAAAAAATCAAACTACGTTCCTGGACTACAGCTAATTAGGTCTGGGAGAATTAATGTTCAACCCCTGGAGAAATCAACCATTGCAAAAAAAGCAAGGCATAAAGAAACAATTAAACAGCAATTCCAAATATATTTACTTTGTGGTAATTATTTAAAAATCTTAAGACTTGATTCCAGTCAAGATAGGCGTAGGTCAGTTCAATATATGCATCATATCAAATCCAATCTAGAACCTGCTTGCAATCAACATAAATACTTGATAATAATCATTTTGCTTCGCTGAGTAAGCTTCCCTCAATGAGAATCATATTAATCATTGGGGAGGGAGAAATCTAAATTAGAGACATATTTTTTTTCTTCCTGATTGCCCTAATAAGGTCATTATCCCAAATCAATTTCAAATTAAATTGTACTTAATCCTAGTTTTATATTTTAGAGTTCAGTTCAATACCTCCACGTTGGTGAAGATGTCATCAAAATGTACTGCATTAATAAAGGTTAACTGAAAATACAAGAGGTTGGTATTAAAAATGAATCCTGCTGCACAGAAATTTTTGAGTTGTTGTAGTTGTACCTATAGTGGTTGTAAGCTCCCAATTATTTGTTTTGTATTGCTGTGAGATGAATAGATGGACAATCCACAACCCAATCACAAGATTGAAGATGCAAAGTTTGAAGATGCATGTATATAATGAAGAATGCTTTAAAATAAAAGAAAATAAAAATTGGGGATAATAAGATCTTACAGATTAAATTTTGGATGATGTGTGATATCAATGCAATACAGTACATGGAATGACTGCCCTCTGCTGGAGAAATTTGTGTGGCCCCTGGATGATAAATGGTAGACCAGATGTAATCATCCAAGCCAGAACTGAGGCAGTTGCAGCAGCCCATAAGATTTCAAATACACTAGCATCAAAAGGGGTCATTATGCCCAATGACTCAGGATGGCTTGGAAATATATGCCCACCATTTGGCCATCTGCCACCAGTCTGAGGTGGTGATATTTTCCCCCCAGCAACGTGGCTATCTGGGGGAACTATTAATTGTCCTGGAATTAATAGCATTACCCTTCTGCCTCAATAAGCAGAAACAAACTTGTACTGTCTGTAGCTCTGGCTTCAACCCAGCTTTGGGGAAGATTCTCAGCTGTGCACATTCCACACAATTGCACTGCATGATTCTCTACCTGAGCTGTGTGTGAGTAGAGGACGGACATAAATAACTAACCCAGACTGGATTTTACAACAGCTCCTTGCTGGGTGGTATTATTATTAGGAAACCAATAGCTTTAAGGACTCAAAATTCTAAACATCAAGACTTGAACAGCTTTGGTACCCCTAATCTCTTAATTTAGGACAAGTAAACAGTCATCCCGAGCACCAAGAAGTGGCTTATTTTGCTATTTTCTTAGGAAGGTATAAAGGAGTGCTCAGGTTGAGCTACCAGCTTCCTTTTCCAAATCTGTACTCATTGTGTACAGTTGCTTGACTCTAAGCCACAGTTTTTAATTAGAGCTTTAAGCGTGGAAAACCACCCAGGTTGGCTCATTAGGCAGAACGAGGCAGCTGCCAATGCAAGGAATGCCATAAGCTGGAAAGAGACAGCTGGGGTTAAAAACAGTTGCAAGGGCCCTTTATTAGTGATTTTCTGAGGTGTGATCTCCTCTCAGGAAGGGGAGGGAAATAGGCTTCCATTGATTTTTAAATTTATTTTGTACCAAATTAATGCAGGAAAATAAGAAAATTTTAGGTTGAAACACTAACAATAATAAAAAAAACCAACCGCTCAGCACCTGATTCAGACTTTTTCCTGTACTATAACCCAATGGTTGTGTTTGCTCAAAACACTCAGCTCAATTCCTTAATTCACTGTTGTGTAGAATCGCTTGCAAGATGTTGCCCTACTAACTAAACATATGAGTTTGACGTACAACACAAAAGAACCTAACCCAAATAAAAACTAACCAAACTTCCCATGCTGTGCAAATGTAGCTGCAAAATGTTTGACTGATGTTGTTGAGCATTGAGGAAAAAAAAACAACCAATGTTTTTTCCACCGCACATTCTCCTTTCTCAGCTCTTTCCCCTTATTTCCTCATTAACATATACTCTGTATTTTCCTTCTGCTTAATGACTCTTACTGTCCCACATTATTGGCAAATAGTTACTGAATAACAGCCTCTTTGCCATTGAAATTATTATTACATCCAAGCGTAATCAACACCTGTTGCATCAAAACAGCTAGTTGTATAAGAGCACTGGGAGCCAAAAAATCAGCAGTCTTGACACATACTATAAAGAATGTTTGTGTATTACTATTATGCTGAGCAAGATCGTGTTCCAACTGGTTGTCATTAAAATAATCCAGAAGCCAA